TCATCGCTCTCTCAAACGGTCAAAGATGATGTAGTTTCTTCTTTTTCCAATGAATGAGTAGTTTATTTTTTGAATAGGAACATGTTACACTCTCTCTTTCTCAACAAGTTTGCGGCTTTTCGTTAGACGGTTCATTCATAAAAACGTACAAATCCAGAAAAGGAATAAGAATAACTAAAATAGGACGGGATGAATGAAGTGTGTCCAGTCAATGACTTGTACACTACGTTTCTACCTGCAAAACTCTTTAGAAGTTAACAAAAGGTGAACATGGATGGTGTGGGAGTAATAGATTTTAAACACATTCATTTTATTCTTTTTTGATCCTTTTTCTGTCACAAGTTGTTGACTACACAGGTGTGTGTTAAACGAACTTCTAAAATCTATTTAACACTCTCTAAAACGGAGAGTTTAAAGGTTATTTGTGTTATATGATTATAAATTAAGATAAATAAATAAAATATTTCAAAAATAACTTTTGGGAAGAAGAAGAAGAACTGAATATTGAAATTTTATAGTATGAAAGAAAAGTATCCTACGAAAAAGATTCCCGAATATTTTTAGCTCTAGGTTTAGTGTTAATTTTAGTTTTAGTTCAACAAAAATATACAACAACTTAACGTTATCTAGTGCTGCTTAATGTTAGGCCGGATATCCGGTTATCCGACATATCTATCCGGTCATTATGGTTATAATTTCTGAAGTGATACCCTACATTGCCACATTATTGCGATATTTGAATAAAAATGAAATCCAAGATATAAAATGAACTTTTTTGATGCTGATTTAACTAACGAAGCAATATGATGGGATATTTCCACGAGGATCCTTCAAGAAATTTATTTTATAACGTATTTTTAAAGTTGTCGATGAAAATTGCAACATCGAAAATTTTATCAAAACTTCAAATATTGTTTTCTCAAAAACTAAAAGTTATTTTTCAAAACGGGTTCGTTCCTTGGAAAGAGGACACTTTTATTAACACTTTGGGAAATTTTCATACTCATATTCCAAGAAATGGATTTTATACGAATTTTTAAAACTTAATCGGCGAAAATTGCAAAATTCGAAAAAATTGTCGATCATTTCAAAAATTTATTTCTCAAGAACTAAAAGTGATTTTTCAAAACGGCTTTTTGCATTAAAAAGAGGATACTTTAATTAATAATTGGTGATATTTCCACAAGGATCCTTCAAGAAATTAATTTTATAGCGAATTTTGAAAATTATCGATGAAAATTGCAACATCGAAAATTTTATCAAAACTTCAAATATTGTTTTCTCAAAAACTAAAAGTTATTTTTCAAAACGGGTTGGTTCATTGGAAAGAGGACACTTTTATTAACACTTTGGGAAATTTTCATACTCATATTCCAAGAAATGGATTTTATACGAATTTTTAAAACATAATCGGTGAAAATTGCAAATTGGCATCATTTATTCTGATTCTTAATTTATTGGTGAAGTTTACATGTACAGATTTGCTCTCATTCAACATGATACGCCAAGTTCTAGTCTAAGCATTTATTTTATCACTAGTGTATAATAAGTAGAGTACTGGGCCGAGCACTCTACCTTGTGGCATTCCGCCTGGATCTTTCTTAAGTTAAAATAGACCACATCCTGCTTTATTCTAAAATATCTTCTTGTAAGATATGATTTTGTCAATTGAGAGTGTTGTTGTGGGGCAAGATTTTATTCAATTTATGAAGTAAGCCTTCGTGCCAGGTTCTCTCAATCTAGGAATATTTCAGAGCAGACTTTCTTTCCCTCTAAAGACTTTTCACAACAAAAAGGAAATAGTTTAGGAATCAAGATAAGTTTTACTATTGCTTTTTTGAAAGCTGTTTAAAAATTTTTCCTGCGATTTGATCGAATCGGTTTTCCAGATTAATTCTAAGTGTGGTGCAAATCACCTGATAACTGTTGCTCTTGACTCTAGGTTTGATCTCAGCAGAAAAATATTCATCAATCTAACGCTGATTAACAACTACCATTAGAACTCACACTAGACCTAGAACTAAAAGCATTCGTGTTTAGTCGTCTTAAGAGAGTCTTAGTTTTTGTTTTAGTTAAAAAAAATACACAACAATCTAGTACTGAATAAATAGAAATAACTAGAAAGTTTGGGATTTAGCTTTGCATCTTCAATACATATTTCTATAAAATAAAGAAAAGTTAGAAATCGAAATAGGGGATGAAAAACACGCCTCATAATAATGAAATTTCACGGTTTGGCGAATCTATTGAGAACGGTCGCGTATTATTGGAAATAGCTAGAGTATTGTGTAGTGTGGATCGAGAGTCCGGGATGCGCTCTATGACAATGCATCACAATATGTCACGAGACTCGACAGAGAGCCTCCCTATCGAGAATGTCCCCCAGGGGTCGAACAAATAAACCCTCGTTCCGCGGTCACTTTCGACTAATTCTAAATGAAAATTTTCCCGCTTGAAAATTTATATGTCCCAATGAGAGTGATTTATTGGTTTTAATTTTAACGAGATCTCTCGTTGAAAATACATCCGAATCAGCTCCAATTAACAGTCATTATACCCACCCTCTTCTCTTTTTACTTGTCGAATCATCCAATATAGTTACTGTGGAGAAAAAGTACGAATGGAGGGGGTTCACCCCTTACAGAAATTCGTGTCTGTCATCAATGATCATCAACGATGTGCAAAATCCTTTTTGTCCTCTATTGGTGTATGTGTACACGAACCTTTTCTATTGTAATCATTGGTTATCTACGCTTTCATACTTTGTTAATCTTTGTTCATCAACAACAACCCCTCGACGCAAAGAAAGAAAAAAAATCGCGGGTGGAATCAGAATTTTACCTACCTGAATATTTATTATAAATTTCCACCAAAAAAAAAAAATCATGTGAACTTTTCGTTTTTAAATAACACAAAGAAATAATTTTTCACACCCCTTTTTTTTTCAATACGATTTCAAGTGAGGTCCTTTAATTTTAGGGCGCGCCCATCACACAATATTAAACGTTTATCATGTAATGTAAAGTACGCTGTGATGTACATCGGGGTGATAATGAAATTTACGACCTCGAACAAGCTGCGTTCGAGTGACAAGTATGAAATTGTTGAAATATCGAGGACCACTCGAGTACTATAAGAGGGTGCCCGATGTCGGTTACCAAAGTGTATTCTCTGTCTCTATAGAAGGCATAGAAGAAACATCGTGTGTATAATTGGACATGCTACCGAGCAAAGGTTCCCTCCTTTCCTTTCTGAATGGGACATGGCCACATAATAATACCTACATTTGTCAGGAATTAAAAAAAATAAATAAAATAAAGTTAGGAGACGAAGAGAAATGTGTCTCTTATTCGTTTTAGTGTTAATTTAATTGGGTTGATGTTCAATTTCCATCACAAAAGATCGAATGTAACCGTGACATCTGTTGGTCGATTTTTATTGCAATTCATGCAGTTCATTTAGAAACATTTGTATTATTAAGTTAAGTGGTTCTATAAATTTTATGGAGTATTTATGGATAAGAAAGATTTTTAAAAACAAATTTAAATTCCATTTTTATTCTTTCGATTAATTTGTTACGATAAAGGCCATCTAATAAATGAATTACCAATAAATTTTGAATTCGATTTAATACACTAAATAATAAAAAATGTTAAAAAAGATATCTTTATTTATTTGATTGATGAATATGTTTCATTGAACTAAAACTAGAACTAACATTAGATCTACAGTGTGTTAATAAATTATCGTACCCAACGTCATCATTGCAAGTATGCAACCAATATCACAGTACGCGTATTGCAATACCAATACTGCGATATTGGTTGCATAACTGCAATGATGACGTCGGGTACGATAATTAATTAACACAGTGTAGAACTAGAATCATTAGGATTCAATAGAATGTTAAAAAAGATACCTTTATTTATTTATTTACGAAGGACTGATTATTGGAAGAGTTTTAAAATTAAACTTGAGAACTCCATAAACCTTTCTACATAAATAATAATTAAAAAGCAATTAGATACAGAAGTAGAGCTGTTGCTGAGATCAAACCTAGAGTCAAGGGCAATAATTAACAGGTGATTTGCACCACACTTAGAATTAATTTGGAAAACCCACAAGACTAGAATGAACCAAGATAAGAAGATGTCGCGATTCCACTCTCCAAAAGAAGTTTTGAAAGAAATCAAAATAAATATTAACCCAAAGAAAGCACCTGGATTCGATCAAACCACAGGAGAAATTCTTAAACAGCTCCCAAAAAAAGGAATAGTAAAACTTATCTTGATTCCTAAACTATTTCCTTGTTGCGAGTAATTTCGAAATAATTTGAAAAGCAATTTCTTAAAAGATTAAAACTGATAATAGAAGAAAAGAACCTAATCTTTTCGCACTAATTCGGATTTAGAGAAAGCCAATCTAAAATAGACCAGATACACAGGATTACAAATATTATTGAAAAGTCTTTAGAGGAAAAGGAAGTCTGCTCTGCAATATTCCTAGATGTAGGTCANTTATTTATTAAGATAATGAGATGGTGTTTGGACTTAAATTGATCGAAATTTAATGCAGATTTCATTTATTTAATAATAAATTTATTTTTTTTAATATTATCGAATCGGTTGGTTTCAATTGAATTCCAGATAGGTTATGTTGGGCTCAGGATGTGTCATGGATAAAGGCTTCATCTTTATGAAGGTGAATTTATGAGTCAGTAGAAATCCCACCTGACTAAATCAATTAAATGAACACTTTGTTCTTAGAAGGTAAAGTTTCATCATCATCAAGAAGACATAGTTATACTTACCAAGGCAATAATCTGTAAATTATGGTTGATAAGAATAAGGACGTTGCGCAATGCAAGGAAGACTGAGAAAGGTTTTCTGAGAAAGATCTCCATGCAAGAAATGTTGGGTAAGCTTAACCAACCCCTATTAAAAGCTGGACAGCACACTCTAAATAGGTTATATCTGTCAAAAAAGAAATTAATTTTTAAAATGTCAAAGAAATTTCATTTCAATCTTCTCTATTTAACAATTCTTTTTGGAACAACCATCGCAAAACACTTTACGACGATTGAATTGGAAAATTTAAAGGATAAATCGGTTTTAGTTAAATTGGATTTGGTCAATATCACAGAGTTCGCTTCTAAAGAAACGATTTCCGTCATCTTTTTTTATAGAACACTAACGGAAATCGTTTGGATTGAATGGTTAGAAAAAGTATTACCCATTATTTCTCCATATCAAATCGGAATAATCGACTGCGATAGCGATAAAAACTATAACGCGAAAAATGGTTGTTTCAATTTGGGTTTTAATCCCCCTTCGATTAGAATTTACCGATATGGATACACATTTTCGGAATACGACCAAGAAAAGAATGCGAGAAGTTTTGTGAAATATCTCAAAAGAATTATTCCAAACGAATTGGTTAGATTGGATGATTCGGAGAAACTTCAACGGTTTTTGAACGAAAATAATCAAAGTGTTGTGGTTGGTTTTTTTCGGAATGAAAGTGTTTTGGAGAAAATCTTTATTAACGTAGCTCAAGAACTTCCAGGAGTTATTTTTGGGTATTCCTCCGATGAGAAAGTGTTAAAATCGATGAATCTTTACGATAATGTTGCTTTATTTCGGCCAAAATATCTTGAGAATGGATACGAAGAAAATTTTGTTAATTACACCGAAAAAAGCGAAGAAAATTTATTAAAAAATTTCATCAAAATCAATCAACACGGTTTGGTTGGGATCAGAAATTATTTTAACGTCGATGATTTCCCCAAACCTCAAATTATAGTTTATTTCGATTTAAACAACAAAGACGACTTTAAAAAGATTCGCGAATTAACTTTACGAGTCGCCGAAGACTTTAAAAGCATCACATTCGCTGTAAGCGATAAAAAAGATTTTATTAACGATTTATTAGAATTTGGGATTGAATCAAAACGGATTTTTTACAGTAAAGTTTTAGTTTTGGGGCAAACTGAAAAAAACTACAAATATGTTTTAGACGAATTCAAAACGGTTCGAGATCTAAAAGAGTTTGCGATTGGTTTGGAAAAGAAAAGTCTCCCCCAGTTTATTAAAAGCCAAGATTTGAAGCATTCGGAGCCACATTCCGAAAGTAGTCGTATTCATCTCGCAGTTGGAAGCAATTTCCTACAACTGGTGAACAAGATCTCTAAAGATTTACTCGTCCTTTTATTTAATTTCGATTGTTTTCAAAGTTTGATAAGCGTGGATTTTGCGGCGAAAGAATTTGAAAAGGAATCGGATAAAATTGGATTTCTTGCTATGAACGTACACCTAAACGATGTTCCTCGTCCGTTCTATTTCAATCATTGCCCAACAATTTTTTTCGCAACTCGGGGATCTAAAAATAAACCTCTTTTATATGGAGGATCTCCAGATTACAAAAAATTAATTAGATTTATACGAGAAAATATTCATTAAACTTAAAATATTTACATATTAACTCGCTTTGTACGTGTATGGGTAAGAAAAGAAGGAGATAAATAGAAAAGGACAACTCTTTAATAAGGGCACTTGCTGGATAATTCTTCAACCATCTCGTAGGGGTGGAAAAACGTTCGTGGAATTTTAATCATAACCCACCCCCCAATCCCTCGTTGATCCACGCTTTAGTTTCGCTTCAAAACTACTTTTAAAAGGTCACGCTGCACATGCGAAAAGGGTGTCAATGGAAAAGGTATTTTTTTATTAGGTTTACAACCCCCCACCATCGCTTATATTATTATTTGCACACCCTATTAATCTATTAATAGGGTTGGGTTCGGTGACAAATTTTTTGTTAATTTTGGAATTTCTTATGGAATCTTGTATACTCTCTTCACAAGCTCAAGAATGAAGTACTCCTAACAATGGATAAAATCGTCTACTCGAGTGGAACGGAGTCACAATGATTTCCATTGAAAAAGATCACTACAATAGAAGCGGCTTCGGTCGCGTTGTGTCACCTAAAAGCGAGTACCTTCTTCTTCTATACCGGCGGCCCTTCGTGTTAACATATTCAAGAGGATTGTCGTGTTCTATTCAAAGAAAAATATTTTTTTAAAGAGAATTTTTGGTTATCATAACTATAATTTATGTTTGAAACCGTTTTGATACTGACCTTTTTTAATTTATTAATAAAACGAATGTTTATTGAAANATGTTCCTCTTATTCGTTTTAGTGTTAATTTAATTGGGTTCCCGTTCAATTTCCATCACAAAAGTTCGAATGTAACCGTGACATCTGTTGGTCGATTTTTATTGCAATTCATCCAGTTCATTTAGAAACGTTTGTATCATTAAGTTAAGTGGTTCTATAACTTTTATGGAGTATTTATGAATAAGAAAGATTTTTAAAATACATTTGAATTCCAATTTTAACTGTTATTCACTGTTATCTAGAACTAGAATCATTCGGATTGAGCCGCACGTCTCTAAAGACGGCTAAATCCGAATGTTTCTAGTTCGAGGATTTAACAAAATGTTAAAAAAGATACCGTAACTGATTTTAAGAGTTTCAAAATTAAACTTGAGAACTCCATAAACTTTTCTACACTATTAATAACTGAAGAATAATTAGATACAGAAGTAGAGCTGTTGCTGAGATCAAACCTAGAGTCAAGGGTAATAGTTATCAGGATAATAGAAGAAAAGAACCTAATCCAGATACACAGGATTACGAATATTATTGAAAAGTCTTTAGAGTGAAAGAAAGTCTGCTCTGCAATATTCCTAGATGTAGTTTAGGTTTTTGATAAAATCTGGTACAAAGGCTTACTTCATAAATTGAATAAAATCTTGCCACAACAACACTCTCAATTGATAAAATCATATCTTACAAGAAGATATTTTAGAATAAAGAAAGAGGAGGTTTATTCTAGTTTAAGAAAGGAGGTAATGCCGATCAGAGCACCACCACCCAGAATACTGCAGGCTGCGTCATTGGGCCTATCACACCTGAAGACATTGTAGGAGTCAGGAAAAACCTCCGCCGAATGTATGCCAGGATGCAACCACGTCTCCGTTAGGTAAATAATGTCATAATCAGAACTTAATAAATTATTGAACAATATACTCAGTTTGGTTCTAAGACCACGTAAATTCTGATAATAAATTGTTATAGACGCCATTAAGTCTTATAAGATACAAAAAAAACTTACATGTCTGGAGACTGAATTACATCCTGTCAACATCAGCATCATTTTGAATGCGTATCATCATTTCTTTTAACAAAGATTTGGCAGTTTTTGGTCCACACATATTTATAAGCTTTTTCTTTTGCGATATTTCTGGCCTTCGCAAACAGCACCTTGTTTACAGGTGTTAAGTGCTCGTTGATGAAACACCAATCTCCAATACCATGGAAAGTGATCATGTTGAATGAAAGCAAGTCTGTGCGTGTAGATTTCACCAATAAATTAATTATCAGAATAAATGATGCGCAGATAGGCTTGACCTTAGACGCAAGGCTATGCTGGAAAGGGCATGTGAAAAAGAAAAAAGAGAGTTTAATCTAAAATATAGAATAAAAATATAAAATAAAAATGTACTGGTTGCTTGAATCTATAATCAACTGCTCCTTTTAACATTAAGTAGCACTAGATAACGTTAGGTTGTTGTATTTTTTTGTTAATTTTAGTTTTAGTCTAAAACTAAAACTAACACTAGACCTATGTAGAGCTAGAAATGTTCGGAAATCTTTTTCGTAGGATGCTTTTCTTCCTACCTATTACAAAATTTCAACTGTATGTATTCTGTTCTTCTTCCCAGGAGTTACTTTTGTCCGCTTCTCTTAAGACGAAATGACATTTGTTGACATTGTGTATTTTTATTTTTTGACAGTTAGTTACTACCAACCTAAATATTTTAGGATAATAACATATTAATTTATAATGTTTTTTATTTAAATCAATTGTCAAAGTGTCGTCAAGTTGGTATTGAAAGTAAAAGCGCATGTCGTGACTTTTACTTTAGTTGTGTGCCACCACTGTCTATCAAATTTGTTAAGGTTGATTAAAAAACAATTTTCATATAATTTTTTTGCTACTAAATCTACCATAAAAATGTTAAGAAAGGGTGGAACGGGATGTCAACTGTCTAAACGCGAAAGAAACTCTATAATTAGGTATTGTGAAGAAGTACAGACGGAGACACCAAATACGAATTTAAAATATATATGTGATAAAGCTTCACGTCTTTTTAATGTATGTGTATTGCACTNTTGCCAGTAATTTAAAAATTATTTGAAAAGCAATTTCTTAAAAAATTAAAACTAATAATAAAAGAAAAGAACCTAATCTTTTCGCACTAATTCGGATTTAGAGAAAGCCAATCTAAAATAGACCAGATACACAGGATTACAAATATTATTGAAAAGTCTTTAGAGGAAAAGGAAGTCTGCTCTGCAATATTCCTAGATGTAGTCCAAACTTTTGATAAAATCTGGCACGAAAGCTTACTTCATAAATTGAATAAAATCTTGCCGCAACACCACTCTCAATTGATAAAATCATATTTTACAAGAAGATATTTTAGAATAAAGCAGGATATGGTCTATTTTAACTTAAGCAAGATCCAGGCGGAGTGCCACAAGGTAGAGTGGTCGGCCCAGTACTCTACTTATTATATAACAAATCCCACATGCTAACTCGACGAAATACCTGGGCATGACTTTAGACGCAAGGCTATGCTGGAAAGGTCGTGTGAAGAAGAAAAAAGAAAAATGTACTTATTGATTGGAAGAAATTCCGTTATATAAGCAAATATTAAAGAAAGTATGGCCACTGTAACTGTACACAAGGGCATAAAGAGAAAGAAGTGAAAAAAAAGCACACTGCATAGATATCAACATAAGATCATTAACGGTCTCAGAAAAACGGAATTTAATGAAGGCGTAAATGAGCAATGGAGCAACATCGAGATGATTCTACTCGAAGTAACAAGAACGGTTGTGGGAACAAGAAAGGAACGAGAAACGAGTTATATGATGAGACATGCGAGGGACCTGTGAGGGAGAGGAATGCTGCGAGAGCGAAGATGATACAAGACACTAGAGCGAAGAGGGAGAAATATAGAGAAAAGAGAAAAATAATCGGCAAGCTTGTGGAACGCAAGAGGAGGGAAATGAGCCAAAATATCGAGGAGAGCTATAATCAACAGAGAGTAAAAGATTTCTATGAAATAATAGATAGGGAGAAGAAGGGATATCAACCGAAATTGAATGTATGTACTTTTGACTGAGGATGTCATGAAGAGATAAGAAGAATACTTCTCGAGGGCGAAGAAAAAATTACGCCGAACTCATGAAGATGGTTGGAACGATTTGCCCGATACACAAGACCAACTGCGACAATTTTAGGGGAATTATGCTCTTGATACGAGAAGATAAAGCCATATGCTGAGAAAATACTGGGTGAATACCAGTGTAGCTATAGGGAAGGAAGATCTACAACGAGTATAACACTGACTTACTAAGACTGACTTTAAAAAAGCCTCTCTATACTATACAGAGGACCAAGTTTGAGTATAATTTACGACAAATGGGAATTTCCCGAAAACTAGCAGAGGTATCAACGATGGCAATGAAAGTGCAACGAAGAATATCCGATGTTTTGGGTTTGAGATACGGAATAGTGTGAGACAGTGAGATGCACTGTCGATGCTAATGTTTAATGTTGCCCTACACTCTGCCATTGGTGGCAGAGTCATTTCAAATATGCTCATATACGGATGATGTATTGATAATGGCTAAATAAATGAGAGGCTTATGGAGATTTTTACTTAGGCATTGAAAGAACAGCCAAAGAGAATGTTCTTGAATTGTTGAATTTTTAAAACTTTATCGGCGAAAATTGCAAAATTTTAATAAATTGTCGATCATTTCAAAAATTTATTTCTCAAGAACTGAAAGTGATTTTTTAAAACGGCTTTCTGCATTAAAAAGAGAATACTTTAATTAATAATTGGTGATATTTCCACAAGCATCCTTCAAGAAATTAATTTTATAGCGAATTTTGAAAATTATCGACGAAAATTGCAACATCGAAAATTTCAAATATTGTTTTCTCAAAAACTAAAAGTTATTTTTCAAAACGGGTTGGTTCATTGGAAAGAGGACACTTTTATTAACACTTTGGGAAATTTTCATACTCATATTCCAAGNAAAAGCTCTTGGTCATTACACTCCGGAGATGTGAGCAAATAGTGTTCGCCACTGTGAAGAACTAATTAAAAAAGATTGGACAACATTAATGGGAAATTCATTAATAACTGATTTACCTCCTGTCATCATCCAACTAGCGGAAGACTCAGATTCTTCCAGTAATTCTGATTTTTAAACAATATTCAAATTTTAATTATAGCACTTAATTATGTTATCTTAATATATTGCTCACGAGTTTTAATTTCAAAACGTAGATATTAGCCAAGTGACGAGAGATTAGTGGCTTCGTCTTTAAAGTGACAATCAGTGACAACTTCGTTTAGAATATACACAACCTTACTTATTATTTAGTGGAAAATATTATAAAGCGTGGTCATAGAACATGGTATCTAGGGTGGTACAGACCGTTTTTTTTTATAAAAATTTGGCAATGACAATTGATTTAAATAAAAAACAAATTATATTTAAAAAGTTTTTTTATTAACAAAATCTTTGTAGACTAATTTTGCGTCTAAAAACGCAAATTAATAAATACTATAATATGGTATTAAGG